AAAATTTAAATATTAAAAAAATTAGTAAAAATCTTCGCAGGCAAATTTGCCTGTGTTACAATTTAAGGGATAATATTCGTGTTAGTTAAATATTTCCTGTTTTGTAAGTATTAAATTTTAAGAAATTATTTAAAATTAACCACTGGTGAAATTCACCTTGTAGGGGTAATAATACCCGGGTCTGATCTGCAATAGTTGCCTAATTTGATTGGGCAAAAATATCTTAAATTTAAATTTCTGGTGAATTTCACCACATTATATAACTATTATATAATTATTTTACTATATTTGTATAGGATCGATTGTGATCGATTGTGATCGTAACCACGCTCAGATTTTTTTCCAAGTGCTTCGCAGAACCACGAAGCTTCATTGCGCAACCAAATAATTACTTGATTAGCAAAAACAGGAGAGTCGAATTAAAAAAGCAGGCAGATCTTATATGTACTAGCGCTTAATAATGGATGATATTGAATGGGACTCGTTTATAGAAATCCCAGATATTTTCAGTGACACAAATTTTTTGCCACCTTTTGACAATGAAGATAGCGATAGTATTATTGATATAAACCCTTGTTCATTGTATTCCAACCAGATAAATAACGATATTGTTGTAAATACAGACCTTTCAATGTTTACTGAACATAACAATAATCATCTATTGTTTTCCAAATATGGTGATAATCCTACGCCATTGTTTGAGGATGAAAATACAAGCTCATCGCTTTTTGGAAATGACAATAATCCCAGTAATATAGATGCTTTTAGTTATCAACATAACCTTCGTGTAAGAAATGAATTTGATGATTGGCCATCTGTTGATAGGTTTATCTATAACTATTGCCTGGAGCGAGGATTTGGATACCAAGTTTTCCATAATGACAAAGATTCAAATGATCCTAGTATTACTCGTCGCAAGTCCTTTCGTTGTTCATCAAGTGGTACTTATGAATCTTGGAAAGCAATTGACCAAAATTCACATCATATACGGGTACCACAAAAACGAATTGTGGATGGTATTGCACCTTTACACTTTCAAAAACTGCGTATCTTGTGAAATGCACAACATTAAAAGATAAACATAATCATAAAGTGAATTCTGCCCAAGTATTTGATATTATTGCTAGGTATCGACGTTTTAGCGAAGAAATGATACAAGACATTAAGTTTTTTTAAGATTGTAAAGTAGCATCCATGACTCAATTAGAGATGCTTAAAAAGAAATATCCACAACATGTATTTCATAAGCAAGACGTATATAATACAATT